TTCTAATGAGAGACAGACAGGGAGTGGATCTGGAGGGGAGGTGGGGAAAAATTGGAGCAGTAGAAGGAGGGGAAACTATAGTCAGGATATATTGTATGAGAAGAGAATCTATTATTTAAAAAAGAGAAAAGAGAGACTAGTAGTCGGGATAACAGAGAGAAGCTACAGTCTCATTCCAGGGCCTTTTTGGTGGCATTCTGTGCTTGACCTTTTACATACTGTACATTAGATGGTTTCATTTTCTTGGTTTTCCTAGCATTTTGATTTGAAGGTTGCATATTTGAATATCCAATGGATAGTAAAGTTGGGACTTAATTCTTTGACTTTTAAACCTGTTGCTTCTTCCTACTTTAAATTTGTTTGATCTATTATTTATGATAGTACGAACAAGTTGGATCCACTTTTCTCTAGTGCATCACCTTTCAGCTTTCCTCTTACCTAGTCTATTACCTATCTTTGTATTAAACACTAGCTTTGAAGTCAAGGAATGGCATGTCAGGCCTGAACTCACCCTGGATAGATTGAATGTGTCTCAAGTCAAGTAAGTAAAAACAAATCAAATTAAATCATTTAATTTTTTTAAATGAGAAAAAATAAATGTGAGAATAAAAACTGAAAATAAAAAGAAAAATCAAACCCAAAACAAAAACAAAAAACAAAACAAAACAAAACACCCAAAAACAACAAGGAGGAAAGAAAACCAGGAATGTTTTCAAGGCTTGACTGAAATCGCAATGATAATTTTTTTTTTCAAAAATAAAAAAAAAATAGATCTTCTAGATACTCAGGAATATGGAAAGCAGTTGTTAAATTTTATATGAATCATATAATAAGAATAAAAACATAAGGAGACACTTTTTACAATCAAATGTATAAAAGTTATAAAACACAAGAGGGTTATTTACTGATGAGAGAATCAAGAAAGAATTCCCCAGGAGGGAGCACTTGACTTGAGGCATGAAGTAAAAATAGGAACTGACCAGTCAGTTTGGGCAGGAGGACACTATGCCAAAGCTTTTATGAACACAGCTGCTGGCCAGCTCCATCAGAAGAAGTCACTGCAAATCCTTCCTTATTCAAACAGCACTTTGTCATGAACAGGAAGGAGATTTGCTAGGGACATTTTTCATCAGCTATGTGGCTTCAGCTTGTTTGAAGAAAACTGGTTCCTTCAAACATGAGTGTCATAAGTATCTGCCTTATTCATGACATCAGATTACCATAATAACTTGAGATGATGTGTGCAGAGATACAAATAATAATACAGACAGACTGCTTGGAGACATTATTTCCACTGTTTAGTAAATGTTCAGAATACTTTTGGAAGTAGAACCTATAAATCTAATATATGGTAAGGGTTTGGAGATTCATGTATAACCCAAATTATGGAAGTTTCTAGAGTATGTTTCAGTGCACAGTAAAGATTTATTATTTAATGAACATTTGACATTGGCTTACATATCCTACTGGATAGTACTCAAGATAACAAGCTATCAATGTGGCTATAGCCCAAACAATACATTTTACCATGCTAATCTATGAATTCTTCCTGAAGTTACTCCAAATTGTCACAAGATGCTTTTTTTAGTAGAAGACTAAAAATGCTACCAAGTAAAACACTATAGAAACACCTTAGAGTCATTCTGCAATTTCTAACTTTGAGACTATATGACCCAGCAACATATGCTTGATGCTGTAGTTTTACTGAGAAATTATGAAAATGACTTAGTCAGGGATGTGTGAAGGCCATGTATAAGATAACTTATTTTCTGGAATCTTTTGCTAATGTTCACATTATTTTTATTTTTATTAATTAATTGTTTTATTTATTTATATTCCCTCACACAGAGTTCTTTCCTCAATCCCCCTCCCATTTGGTATCCAAGTATCCTCCTATCCTGGGGCAGCAAGTCTCTATAGGATTAGACACATCCTATCCCACTGAGGTCAACAAGGCACAAAGTGCTTCCCCATCCTGCACAGTCTGTAAAGCTCCAATTCTTTCTAAAATATCAAATCTTTGGAACATGTGTCTGTACGGTCACTTGCAACTGATCAGTGCAAGGATTATCAGCCACAGTAAGAGTTGGAGGAATTGGGCTTGTGTGATGGCTCAGCAGTTAAAAGCACTGACTGCTTTTCAGAAGGTCATAAGTTCAAACCCCAGCAACCACATGGTGGCTCACAAACCATCCGAATGAGATCTGATGCCTTCATATGGGTGTCTGAAGACAGCTAAAGCATACTTGGTACTTGGGGCCAGAGCCAGCAGGGGCAGAGGGAGCTGGGCCCAGGCAAGAGAAGGGGAAAAAAAGTTGGAGGAATCTTGACAAATATCATTGTTCGCTAGGCATCATCTTTACTATGGATGTGCATGGATTTTAAAGTTCTTCGGTGACAAGTGTATAAGATGACGTTCATTGAAAGATGCCTTTTTTTCCTAATGAATTCTTTATTGAACCACATAATTTTCAATATTCTGAAAAGTATTCTGTGTCATGCAAATGGAGCACTTAGTAACAATGTAGACTTATTTACCACTAAGGTAATATATAACAATACACTTTTACATATGGAGGGTCATGGGTAGAGACAGAAGATACAGATAGAGAAGAGGCCTGAATACAAATTATGAGTGTTTTCTTGGAAAATAGCTATGGTTCATTTGGATCTATAAAAGTACAATTTAAAAGCTAATTAGAGAAAAATATAAAAAGAAGTAATACTTCTTTTATTCTTTGGAGATGTAATTGAAATGTTAGAACCAAATTAATCAACCTTTCAACTACCCAACAACACAATCAAGCAGCCATATCGTACGTACACCACCCTAAATCCTGTCTATGTTTTGAACTTCAGTAGACTTCAGCTCTTCCCAGTGGCCTCTGTAAAACCTGGTATATTTAAATGTTCAATTTGGTTTTTTTTTTTTTTTTTGAGGTCTCAGCTGAAGCTTACTTACAGTAAAGTATGGATCTGACTGGATACCCTAAGGTGGGTCATATAATCTTCATTCTTATACACACCGTATTTTAATCTATGGACAAAGGAAGATTTCAACATAGCTTAATAAGTTTATGACTTTTATTTACATGTAAGAGTAAAGAGGAGGGTCATCTAATCTAGAGAGTAGCATTTAGAAAACTCTTCCTGCAGGATAAGATTTGAGATACTGACTTTAATGCATAAATCATAACTGTCTCCTGAGGGGCTTCATCCAGCAGCGGAGGGAGGTAGATGCAAAGACACACAGCCAAACATCAAGCAGAGCCCAGAGAGTCATGTGAAAGAGTAGGGGATAGAAGTGAGTGAGCTGGAGGGGTCAAGGACACCATACAAAGACCTACAGAGTCAACTAACCTGGGCCCGTGGTAGATCACCAAGCCTGGGCCACCTACCAGAGAGCAAGCAGAAGCTGGACCTAGACACCCTGCACATTTGTAGAAAATGTGCTTGCTTGATCTTCATGTGGGTCTCCTAACAAATGGAGCAGGGGTTATCTTGCTTTATGTTTCCAGCCATTGGATCCCCTTCCCCAACCTGGACTGGTTGAGCCTCAGTAAGAGAGGATGTGCCTGGTCCTGCTGGGTCTAGATGTCCCAGGGTAGATTTAGTTCCCAGAGGGGACTCCTTTTTACTGAGGAGAAGGGGAGGAAGCAATGCTGGGAGGGATTTTTAAGCATGGGATTGGGAAGAGAGGATGGAAGAGGCTGTGATTGGGGTGGAAAGTGAATAAAAATATATTATTGGGAAAAAAGAAAATTCTTTAGTTGTGGCATGACGGCAACAAGGAAAAGTTAATACCTGAAGAAATGATACTCATTCTTCTGTCTTCTATGTTGGCAAGGTCAACATGGTATGACTGCTGAGGCATGTGAGAAAGCATTATACTTCAAGATCACAACAAACAGCTCTGTTCGTTGAAGTGAAGTATCAAAATCTGGAAAAAATATGAGTGGTGTGGGCTACTATGAGCAGATGGAGTGAATTATATACTTTTTCTATTTTATATACATGAATTGTTAGAAGCTGCACGAGCATCCTTGCTGTCAGCATCCTAACACTGAGCATTGTCCTGTAACTTCTCAATTAAAGGTGAATGAGAAGAAAATGTTTCATTAAATTCAACGACCATGCATGAATCTCCCCTACAAACTCTGGAAAAATCTCCTTTTTCAGAAAAGATCGTAGCTTCTTATCTAAGTGAGATTTAAAAGTTTTGCTTTTCCATCCAGATAAAGCCGGTTATGTTTTTAAAAGTGCTTCAACAACAAGACATATTTTGGCACAGAGAGCAAGAGATAAGAAGGAGGATGCTCAGCTTCTCAGGGCCTTAATTTGCCTGGCGTTTGGAGGAAAAGGATACGTAAGAGTCACATACGGATAGCATACTTATTACATCTGTATGCTGTAAGAGGCTCAGTAGATGCTCTTGTACTTGAGTTATCAGATATATGATTTCTGGAGAGATGCCAGGCAGAAAGAGTAATGTAAAAGTAAAAATTGGTAGAAGCTAGAAATTTAGAAAATAAGGAAAAAGAGGAGAGAGAGAGAGAGAGAGAGAGAGAGAGAGAGAGAGAGAGAGAGAGAAGGGGAC